TCTTTTTGGTTAGATATTCATTGCAGTACGGTTTTCAATTTACTTATAACAGAAGTTATTTTTTATGTATTCTTCTTCTGCACGGAGAAAGTTGCGCTTTTATCCTCACAACACTTGTACTGCTTACAAAGCTTGATTATATCGGGGGAATATCATGGCTACACAACATCTGTTTTTCAAAGTTTCGCTCACATTGTCTGCTGATTGATGTCTGCTCGAATCCACATTCTAAATAATTTCAACATTAACATTGATGAGCGAAACGCGTCGCAGGATTTATCGCATCTTTCATTTGGACAAATTTTAAGACACATTGAACCTATTACTGTACCTCTTATCAGAAAGCTTGAGAGATTAAACTCAAAAGAAGTCCTCAATAAAACTGGCATTATTTTTAACAAAACATTAATATTACTATACATATAAAACTACCTATTTTCAGTATGCACCTGTAAAAAATACAATAAAAGACGTACTGAAAACATAATTTTGTCTGCTTGTGGTGTGATGGAGGAAGCGGGTGCGGCTCCACGCGGTCTCAGATGAAGCCGTTACTTACTGTGACGCCACGAGATGAGGCAGCGGGGCATGTAAGTGTCTGGTCAATTGTCTACATAAGATCTTCATGGCAAGCTTTCTTGTGCCGCCGACATTTTATTTTAGTTTAGGTTTTTTAGTTCAGTTTTTAGTTTATTTTGTTATTTATTTTAGTTTAGTATGGTAGTAGGATTGTGTCCGCGCTAAATAATATGCCATGTTTGTTCTACCGGCGATTTTTCTTAATGTTTGTGACTTGTTCACAAGAGATCAGAAAAATGGCTTTTTGCCCATAATTTTATTGAACGGACGTTGAAGCGAAATAGCTTCATGATTGCTTTTTTTTCTCGTGAATTTTCCCCAATGAAGTTGATTCAAAGATGTTCAATGCCGAAGAATGAAAGTGGTGATTCTCAGAAATTTATTTTATTGAAGGACAAATGAGCTTTTACTCGCATGTTTTTAGATGTAATTGCATTTCTGAGTGAAATATTATCATACATACACGAGTCTTCAATTTAGTTATTTCGTTTTCTTAGTGTTGATATTCAGAATTATTATTCCTTTTCGATTGCTAGTTCAAAAAAATGCCAAGCGTGATCACATTCGAGCGCAATTTCTCATGGCAACGAAGAAAGTTATTATTTTAACCACCCAATGTCATACCAAAGCTTGCACGATGTGGCTTTAAGTCTTCAGAAATACTAAATTTTAGTATTATGGGCAAACCACGAATCACAAATTTCTGGCCCGATTTTATTTCATCCATAAAATCAAATAAAAATTAACACTAATTTTTTCAAAAACTTAGCTCTCTTAAGAAAATATTAAAAAATGTTATCAAATAAATGTAGCTAAGTACTCTTAGTATAATCTAATTAAACTCTTATTGGTCCAATGTGATGAATGAACTGTACTCTATACGATGTTGTGCCCTGTATTATGTTTTTGGGATCTTTGTTCAAATTAGTGTGCCGAAAAGATTTTTGTAGAGCACATTGTTGCTGCGCTGCCTATAATGTACTTTTAAAGATGCTATGAAGTTTAATGTATACTCCTGCCGATAAATACAATCAATTTAATTTAATCGATTCCTGGCCGACAAGAAATAAAAAAACTCGCTGCTTTCAATTCCGTTCAAATCGTGATTGACATGTGCGTGATTATAGAAGATATGAAGGGATTTTAGATCATCTATTTTGCAGAAATTGCACAGCCTACAAGATTGGATTGTTTTTTAAACGCTATTTAGCAGCGCCAACTTGCAGTAATTTATTAGTTGCCGCTCAGAAATGCAATCAAATCAATGCTATTGCGTCTTTTGAGTTAACTTGACCATTGAAGATCTATTTAAGGTCCACTTTAAAACGCTTCTCATGTTCAGGGTTGTCGCCCGGGTTTTTATACGCAGTTTTTATCGACTTGGGTCTTCATGTTAGATCAGCTCTAAATACAACACCGCTTGTAAATATTAAAGGCTGGTGCCGGTAAGGTATGAAGAAGAAATTTAAGTCTACGTATTAAATCATTCCTTTGTACGCTTTTGACGCACCAGACGAAAGTTTCATAGCATTTATCTACGTATACATATAATAATAGGTGTATTTACAGCGCTGATCTTTTCTGTTTTTAATTAGGATACTTGCCTTAGAAATCTATTCCGAGGAAGGATAAAACTATTCACAGTATTTAAATAAGAAAAATAGTAAAATTGGCAGGCTCGATGACTTTTCATATGAATAAATAAATATGCAACTAATAAATGAATACGAATGCCCAGTGAAGGGGCTAAAATACGAATACTCATCAATAACGGATAACGCAAGACTGCGTACCTGTGCGTAAGCTCCGTCCAGTGGCACCTGAAGAAGCGATGCACTGCTTCTACGTAAGCCACTTAATTGCCACCAACAGCACACCGACAAAACACCCACAAAACACCAACAAAACACCCACAACACACTCACAATTAACACACCCAAAAACACCCACATCACCATTATCGGCTTCGTGTTGCTGACAGCAAGCCATATGTTATTGTCGCCAGCGCAACAAGTGCAAATTGACGTCCGCTGAATCCTAATTGCCCTTAACTGAAGACGTCGTTGACCTGGAAATTATGGGAGCATAAGTTGGTGATAAATCTTATTATTCCTCTGACATTGGGATTTACAAGAACATGACAATTTTTCAATATGATCAGGCTGCTAGAGTTCATTATGTATACCCCTTTTTATTGATAAATCAAACACCATTCATTTATCGTTTGTTCAACAGTTTAAATCATTGATAGCTTACATCAGGGATATTTATATGACTATAGTTTGATCTCCCGATTCCCTCATGAAATAGGAATGATGATTATTCTCAGTATCGTTATATTCTTTTCAAACCATGTAACTGCCACTTATTTTATACAAGATAACGATTTTTTGCTGCCGTAAAGGAAAGCACCCGCCTCATAGTGAGGAAAGTCGAAGGCATCGGACTGCCTTCTGACCCTGGCCACCTGCAATTTTTAATTGGGTTCCGTTGCTGTTCGCTGAGGTTAATAGTTGGGCGAGTCTGTCCTCTGCTAGCACACTCCTACGCTCCTTAGACTTCTATGCGCAGCTTTAAATATATTTACATTAGCTATTTCCCAATAGAGTTCGAATAGAGTTTAGGAAGGAAGTCGTACTTGAGTGCCACTCCATAAGTCTCTTCACGTTTGCAGGAAATGTATTCAGAACTAAAAACGTAATTCCGAGTACGCACAACAAAGGAAGAAAATCCCCTTAGCTTGTGCAAAGTTCCTGGGTCTAAATAACTATTTGTCGTGTATATATTTTGAATAAATTGGAAGTCTGCATACATTAGCGCGGTATACACTCAGAGAAATGAGTAAAACTTTGTCCAAATAATGAAGCACTATTCGCCATTGCATGGATCTGTCTGACTAAATTTAGCGCAGCGAGAGTGCTTATCAGTGTACTCGAAGAAAGTGTGTCATTATTTGGACAAAATGACCTATTTATTTTCCTTGAGTGTATAAATCAACATACACTTGCAGTTAATCGTGAGTGGTTTCCTTGGCCATGCAGTTGCCCAAGTCTTTCAGGTGTGTTTATTACCGCAATGAAGGCAATGCTGCAGTGAAACCTTGAGCTTCACGCTGATCTAGGCCGTGGGGAGAGGCTTAATTTCCTCCAATCTAGGCTTAGAAACGCATGAGAAGAGCCAAACCCTGTGCAATGATGGCACACGACGTGTCCAACCACAATTGTAGGTCAGGTATCCTAGAAAATATTTTTTGCAGTTTCTTCTCGAATACGCGATAAAAATAAGTATGAGTGAAAAGTATTTGATTTAGATGAATTTTTTCACTAAATGATTCTATGTATTTCCTAAAGATGCGAATAATTTCAAAAGGAAAATAAAGCTGGAGAAAATTCTAACCTGCATAGGTAATCACTGTGTCATTTTCTACGCTTCCACAGATCTACTGCCACGTTAATTGCAATTACATTGAAAAATTACACAATTGCGACATATCCTTAAAACATGAACCAATTCTGAGCTGATTCGCAAAATAGCATCGTATTGATAATTTCACCGATTGAACTTTTCGTATCTCAACACAAATTATTAAAATGAACGTTGAATACACTACAATTTATTTGCAAGGTTTTTAAATTAGTTTCTAATAGATTAATCAATTATAAATTTTTCCTCTGAGATGTATCAAAACTCATGAGCGCGTATCACGTAATTATAAATACGGAATCTTGTGCCAAATTTTGACAAAACAATAATTAAATATCGCAAATGAATTTATTTCTCGGTTTGATTTTGTTCACACAGAATAAGCAGAAAATTTTAAATTATAAAATTAATTTCGACTTTGACCAGTAATTTTCCGGCGAACGCAGATTTAGGTATTTATTTCTAGTTCAATAATTCAGAGTTTGATTAAATACATTAAAAAATTCTAATACTTATTTCACATCGAAGTATTCGAGACTGATGCCGAAGTATGAAACAATTAAACCGAATTGTACCAATGAATAATTATTGAGAAATACGGTTAGACATTACAAGTTACTGACCGTGACATAGACACTGAAATTCACATGTGAACCTCACATAAGTGAGCCTCACATAAACATTTGCCATTCACTCATTACTGACCTCCGCATAGACATTGACCCTGACAGAGACTCGGAATCTGACATAGACACGAAACATGACATAGACATTACTCATCATTGCCTCTGACATAGACATTACTCATAATTTACTCTGACATAGACATTACTCATCATTGCCTCTGACATAGACATTACTCATCATTGACTCTGACATAGACATTACTCATCATTTACCCTGACATAGATATTATTCATCATTTACTCTGACATAGACATTACTCATCATTGACCCTGACATAGACATTACTCATTTGACTCTGACATAGACATTACTCATAATCATTGACCCTTACATAGACATTACTCATCATTTACCCTGACATAGACATTACTCATCATTGACTCTGACATAGACATTACTCATCATTTACCCTGACATAGACTGTACTCATCATTGACCCTGACATAGACATTACTCATCATTGACCCTGACATAGACATTACTCATAATTTACTCTGACATAGATATTACTCATCATTGCCTCTGACATAGACATTACTTATAATTGACTCTAACATAGACATTACTCATAATTGCCTCTGACATAGACATTACTCATCATTGACTCTGACAAAGACATTACGCAGCGATGAGGCTGAACGCAGCGCAAATGCAGCTTTTGTTGCTGTGCCTAGCCTCCGCCGTGCAGCTCTCCACGACCTGGAGGAGCGACAGACGTAAGTTGCCTATCTAGCTTTACCTTGTACTACTAAATTACTATACAAATTAATCTTGAAACACGAAATGGAAATGGCGGTCGTAAATAATAAATTAAATTTACGCGTCTTAAAGAGTGAAAAACATCGGAAATTTCTATAATTATTAGGTCAATATTAGTAAAATGGTTCAATGTATCTTCTGCTTTGATTAAACAAGAAGAACTACTCTCTAATACTCAATATTTTTACAGTCCTGTTACATATGTCGACAGGACTCTTTACTCTATATATTTTGACAGAAGTCTATACCCTACATGTCTCGACAGGACTCTACACTCTATATATCTTGACAGGACTCTATACTCTATATATCTCGATAGGACTCTATACTCTATTTATCTCGACACGACTCTATACTCCATATATCTCGACAGGACTCTATACTCTATATATCTCGACAGGACTCTATACTCTATGTATCTCGACACGACTCTATACTCTATATATCTCGACAGGACTCTATACTCTATATCTCGACAGGACTCTATACTCTGTATATCTCGACAGGACTCTATACTCTATATATCTCGACAGGACTCTATACTCTATATATCTCGAACAGCTGCGCTCTCTAACGCCCCGGCGACTGCGCATCAGACGCAAGCTCGTGCAGTACCACAACTTCTTCAGGACAAGAGTCCAGCCTCCGGCTACGAACATGCTCGCCATGGTATATTTTTTCTTTTTTATTATTCTAGTTTTCCTCGTAAATAAATACTAATTCATTCATAGTACTCTGCTAATTTTACGTCTCACTTGAAGGGCAGAGGGCACATAGAATCTTTCTATGTCCTATTCCATAATACCATGAATATTTTTTTTAAATTTGATTAATATATATGTACCCTGCATTAGTTACCAACCCTGCTTTGGACATAATTTTTTTCAACCGCTCATCTTCCAAACTCAGCTCTTTTTTTAAATTTAAGTAATCCATGTATACCCTACATTAGTTATCAACCTCCATCCTTTTTCTCACTCGGCCAGAGCTGGTCGCGGGAGGCGGCACGCGACGCTCAGCGCTGGGCGTCTGCCTGTCAGTTGCTGGTGCATGACGACAACGCGGGGCGCACCGTGCGCGGCTACGGCCCTTGCGGCCAGAACATCTTCGTGAGCACCCAGCAGGTGCCGTGGTCAGTACCGTGAGTGTGGTGCATCTTCGTGAGCACCCAGCAGGTGCCGTGGTCAGTACCGTGAGTGTGGTGTATCTTCGTCAGCACTCAGCAGGTGCCGTGGTCAGTACCGTGAGTGTGGTGCACCTTCGTGAGCACCCAGCAGGTGCCGTGGTCAGTACCGTGAGTGTGGTGTATCTTCGTGAGCACCCAGCAAGTGCCGTGGTCAGTTCCGTGAGTGTGGTGCATCTTCCTGAGCACCCACCAGGTGCCGTGGTCAGTGCCGTGAGTGTGGTGCATCTTCGTGAGCACTCAGCAGGTGCCGTGGTCAGTTCCGTGAGTGTGGTGCATTTTCGTCAGCACCCAGCAAGTGCCGTGGTCAGTACCGTGAATAAAATATCCGTTGTTAGGTATCAGACAGAAATATGAGTCCATTTCCCTTATCCTTCTTGTTTTATCTTCAACGAAACACATCCATTGGAAAGAAATTATCTGCAAACTATTAATAACAACCAGTTTGGGAATCAGAAGTAATAAGTTTAAAATTGTTGTTTTTTATTTTTTTATTAAAAAAACCCTATAAATTCAGTTTGGGAATCAAGTTTTTTTTGTCGAATATCCAGAGTTGCCAACCCTGTAAAATGATTTGAATCGCTAAAATTGCTAAACTAAAAGGTAGAAAATGAATAAATAAAAAAAACACATTTAAAAACCACGTTTTTGTGGTGGTTACAAAACTAAAAACAATGAATTAAAACAAATAAAAACTTTTAAAAACCACGTTTTTTTAACAGACAAAAAGAAAACATTAACTCTTACATAACATTACATAACATTCTACATAACATTAATGTTATGTAAGAGTGAATGTTTTTCTTTTTTGTCCGTTAAGAAAACGTGTTTTTTAAGATTTTTATTTGTTTATGCTAAAGTAAAGTTAAAGGTAAGTTTTTTTAAGTGTTTAAGTACAGCGAAGTGAACAGGTAACCTACTTCTAGTGTTCTAAAGAACCTTATTTACTCAATAGAACTAATCTATTTATATATGAAAGAATAAAATCTAGAGGGTCTCAAAATTTAATCTATACAGCCTACCTAAATTCTCCGAGAACATTTTCGTCCATGTTCTGAGTGATTTTCTTCAGGTTTTTCGGCGTCAAAACCTGGTGGCTTGAGCGCGACAACTTCACGTACGGTTCCGACAAGAACGATTTGTTCGTGGTTGGTCATTACACGCAGCTCGTGTGGCACGCAAGTCATCAGTTGGGCTGCGGGCTTGCTTTCTGTAAGGACGCTAAACCGAGACCCTTCTACAACTACGTCTGTAATTACTGCCCAATGTAAGAACTGAATCTCGTAAAACTGTGATAAGGATTAACGGAGTGGCCGGATAATGCCCTCAAGTTTGTCGATTGTCTTAATTTACGTTCATAACATTACTATGCAACATAATTATAATAGCTTGGTCCTAATTTTCGTTTGTGGTAAAAAGTTTCTATTTATTTCCTGTTATATGATAAGGATTAGCACGGAATGTACTAAAGTGTGTCAAATGATTTTTTTAATTAGCTATTTAAACATTCTCAAGCGACCGTTCAGCCCGGTCCCAATTTTCGTCCACGGTAAAGAAAACTACTTTTAATTAATGCCAATGGAAATGTATTCCTATTAATTTGATTAATGTACATCACTTAATTAGCAGAACTCTTCTAATTATAAAACTCTTCTACGCAATCAAATAATTTATAGCTATCTCTTGCAATCAACAATCAAACGTCTTTTATTTCAAAATTTTATCATACAGTATAATCATACATCTTTTTACATTTGCAGCGGCAACCACATGCAAGCAATCGGCCACCCGTACGAGAACGGGACGTCGTGCTCAGCTTGTCCAGGGCACTGTAAGGCGGACAAGCTCTGCACGAACGCTTGTCCCTACGGCGACCTGTGGGTCAACTGCAAGGATCTGGCCAAGACCTTCAAAGGGTGGCTCTGTGACACCAGGACGAGGAAGGGCATCATCAGACGCAAACATTGCAGGGCGACGTGTCTCTGTGAGGGAAAAATCACCTTCCCTTGACCGTCCGTAATCTCGATAAGCTTGGCGCTCTTCTCTCGATAATGATCATTAGACAATTGAACCGATTTTTTCAAAGCGCTGTCAATATAAATTATTTATTTCATCTATATTTCTTTTTTTTTTTGGGGTCCCACTCTAATTCACAACTTCGGATTAAATAGGGCAGAAATTCATCTTCAATTATACCGAACAAAAATATATGATATTCAATACAGCAGATCATGTTGATTTTGGAGACGAATATTAAGTAAAGTATCCGCGAAGATGGGCGTTGATTCGTATGCTCGAATATTTACGATACGATGTGTTTATCAAACGTTTTGGCACTCGCCTGTGCGTCTGTTTGTGAGCTTCGCTGACGAACACACATTGTAAGGTGGAAATTATATTTTCATCTCCTCTGTTATTATAAAAATGATGAATTATATTTTCATCTGGAAATTATGTAAAATTTCGGACAAGGAATGGCAAGTATGATTCACTCACACCCGATAAAATTGTTATTTATAATGTACGATGTAACTAAATTTTAGGGAATTATGGTTAGCAAATTTTTTATTACGTTGGCCCGTATGCTAAATAGGGCACTAGCACTACGAAGTAGCACTATGCACTACGAAGTGTCCTGTTGGTATGCTAAATACGTCACAGACACTAAGCACTTCGAAGTAGCTCTACAATGTTTAGTGTCGCTTAACATGGCAAAGAGTTCTCCAGTTTGCGAGTCAGTAATTTATAAGAATGTGTATCCACTAAATTTAGCAAATAAATCAACATTTATCTTAATGTATGCTGTGTATCTTAAATCCTAAGTAATGTTACATGCATTGCATCAATGCATGTTTTAATTGAGATCCCTGTTTTTATGTTAATTTTTAAACTTACACATCAACCTCAAAACGTCGGCTTCCTTGATCCCCCATTTACAGATTTTTAAACAATCTAAACGAATTCATTTTCTTGTATAGTTTTTACAAGACATGAGCGTTCGCTCGCTCCGAAATGAGCCACTCAATTTCAAGCGCTTTGTTTCATGATTTAAAAATTAGCAGCAATCGACGTTAAAATTTAGGTACTCTATCGCTTAGTTCGTTATATTTTCGGCTAATGCTTGAAAGTGACCATTAATGTGTGTCTTGTAGGGTTAATACCTGAACCTCGTTATACTCGAATTACAATTGAAACGAGTTCAATTGCTAATTTCATTTCATTTCATTTTCCCCACACATTCTCATTCAGATCATTTCAATGCCGTTTTTGCTAAAAGCACACAAATTTTAAACAAAAATTTCATTTTCACCCCAAATTCTAATCCATATTATTCAAATACCGTTTTGGTGCCGGATGTTGATACCATGTCAACCGTGGCTATTAAATGTGTGTACGGGATCTACATAACACAACATCATAGTATTTTCATCGCTGAAGAATAGGCCTGGTGTGGTCTTTCGCCTATTCTTAAACTTTCAGGCCTTTTTACCAAGAGATTTAAAACTTGCCACTTGACTAGAACTGTCCAAAACTGACATCGGTTTGAAATAGCTTCAAAATAATTGTCGTTTTAGGCTACAAAATGAACGCACTTAAAAACCAGTGACGTTATAACGACGAAGCCCTTATAATATTCGATTGTGCCCATGTCAGGTAATTACCAAGTTTACTTTTTCCGGAGATGTTTTCGGAAAATTTTGGTTTTCTGTCAGATAATTTCTTACATTTTTATGCGAGTTGATCAGACTATAGTCGCTCTCTCAGTAATTCACTAAAGAATGTTATTAATTACGCTGTTGAGAACAGCATAATCTGTAATTGTGTACAGTTTTATCATTAAGTTAAAATGGTACCAAAGTAATAAAATTATTCCACGGGTAATTCTATTAAATCGTCAGAAAACTATTTATTTCGACCCAAAATTAAGGAGAGTGCCAATGAAACAACAGTTAATATATTCATTTTTAAATAATCATAAAATTAAAAATAATTTAAGGATATAGATTAAAGGAATAATGTGAGTGAAGTTAAAATACATACATGAGTGTCGGCATTCTTCCAAGTATTAATGGAAATAGACCAGTGTTTTTAACCGCACACAATTCATATATATTCTCCCTAGTCGATAAATAATTAATTAAATATCTCATAAATAGACCTTTTTATAAAATTGTAATAAAAGTATACTTTTTGAGACGGTTTTACTTCGTCGTTGCTTCACAGAACACTAACACAAACAATACCGACTTTATTTTTAGCGCATTTTCTCATTTATGGAAAAAATGCACTGTTGTGCTCGCCATGTCCGTCCGTCCGTCTGTCTGTCTGTCTGTCTGTCCGTCCGTCCGTGCGTGACCTCAAGTTTTCGTCGACGAGAAAATGCGCTCTCTGCCACTCACTGCAGTGAGTACTACTGAGTTATTTTAAATACAAGCCGTAATGCCTCGTCTACCTCCCCAGCCTTGCTTGCACATAGAAGAGGATAACCAGAGGTTTCTTCCCCAATTTACTCAAAGGAAAGTGCGGATATAACTCTTAACGTTCATACATGTAAATTTTACTTGCGTTTCCCCAATTTTGGGGAGAAGTTGAGTTCTCCAGCATCAGTTCGAGGCAATAACCTGGCTCTTTTGAAAGGGTTCCATCACAGCAATGTACAAGTTAAACTGCTCTGTATTCACGTATTATATAAATTTTATATCAAAATTATTCCTATTGTTTTAAACACTATGAGGGACGTTTGATTTGTCATGTTCAACATATCATATAATGAAGTACGCATAGCATTAAGATTATTTGGTTGCTTAAATCGCAAATTTACCAGGGATTTAAAAGCAAATAATATCGCCAAGAAGTTCGCCATTTCTTATAAGAGAAAACGTTTCGGAGTCAGAGCAGTCTGTAAACCATCACGTTACAATATGCATCATATATTTGTAGTTAAATAAGTAAATAAGGCAGCACTTTGCTGTATAAATAAATTGCCATGTATTAAGAAATGACACAAAATATAATGTAATAAAGACAATGACATAAATACTTCAATGCTTTGTACATTACTTAAAATCAGGTGCACAGCGCACCAAAGATAGATATAATACGTAATAATATTGCAAAAATAAATAGAGAACACGACTCAAAACATTTCTCTGCGGAATTCGAGTCTGTATTTTATGCACATCTGTTTGAGGACTGGAGCGAGGGCTGGGGGACCACAGTAGAACACACACACTTTCTCCCTCTTGCCTGCGGCGCTGCGGATGCCGCTGAATACCTGCGACACGGGACGTGTTAACGACACGTCTGAGACTTGTACCGAACACAGAGTAACGATGAATGCAATTTTATATAAGATGAAATAGAGCAGACTTTGCATGAAAGGCAATGCAAAAGGGCAATGCAATGAATGGCAATGCATAAAGGCAATGCAAAATGCCTTAAATAGACCGGTTTTTATGGTAGTTCATTCAAGATTACTATGGCGTGTTCTAATCTTCAGGAAATTAAACAATAATCTATTCGTATTCCGATAATCTTCATGTATTTTTCCGACGCAAAAATATCATCAAGGTTTTGATTTTTCAAGAATTATGCTCAATTGTGAGTTAATAAAAGCAATATATTGCATCTGGTCTGGTGACTTACAGTGTCCCAGTCTGGCCTCCCCTGACGGACTGCGGCAGCGAACGGCAGGGTCGACTGCAGAGGCAGGTCGCCGGTGTTGTAGAGCTGCAGCTGTAAGAACTTCTCCATCGCTGCTCCTGACTGCTGCTGTTCACTCTCTAGGGACCCCAGCATCTCCAAGAACCATTCGAAGTGACTGATGTCTCTGTTCACCCACACAAAGTCTACCTGCAACCAACAAAAAATCGTGAAATAGAAGTTGATGGCATTTTCAAAATTTTCCTTAATAAGCTGATTGTGACCAGCGCGAAGAAAACCTCGAACGCAAGGACAGTTGGATTGAAGTTTTTTAATTACAATCAATCTGGCCGATTTCTTATCACCCACACCAATGACGTATTTTAATTCAGGTATTGGCTTCGTTATCTCTTACGTTTAGACTCGTTTAGACTCAAATAATGTCGTTTTTTATTAATTATTTTCCATTTGAATCATTTATGAGGAAAATATTAACGCTTGGATGTAAAAACTGATATGAGAGCATGCATTTCTATGAGTATCTGGGTATATTGGGACAGCATTCTTTAATTATTAACACTGGTCCAACCATCCGAAATCGAATTTTTAAAATTTTTTGTATTTTTCAGCAAAGCAGCACACATTTAAATTTTTTTTTGCGCGGCTTCGATAAAATAAAGCAGATAAATAGCCTCTGATCATAAAGCAGTTAAATTACTTCGTACTAATTATTGTAACTACATTTGTTAGTATACAATTATTATTTTTACTGAGTGACTACTTTGAGCACAATTTGGTAAAGATTTTCTGGCTTGTTCAATTAATAGCAATATCAAATCCTAATATATTAATTATAATTAATATTAATTTATTTTATAATTAGACAAAAATTCATGCCGCGAGTCTCACTCGTCTGAGTTTCTTGAGTGTAGTGGGCAGCATGACGCAGCTAGCGACGTTGCAGTGCGGACATGGCACCTTCGCGGCACGGTATCTGCACGAGTATAATTTAATATCGATAAAAAATAAAAAAACTTTCAAAGATAAATTCAAATTATTAAAGCATTCAAACTTTTTAAATTTATTATTTAATATCCAAAACACACATAATTTGAAAAGATTATTTCGCACAACAAAAAAATCACAGAAATAAGCACGACTGTTGGGCAAGGTCCAATAATAAAATTTTATATAACAGTTTCACAGAGAATTGTCGGATGGAACATCTGCATTATCTCTGTTGATTAACGTACTAAATAATGGTTCCACGCTTTGGGGTCACAGGGTCCTACTTTAAAAATAATAAAAAGCGTGAATTTAATTCCTAAGTATAATCCGACCTATATATATTGGTATGTAATTCTTCAGTATGAATATAACAATGAATATAATTCATTGATATATTCTTTAGTGACCTGTGCATGATGCTCTGGAGGACAGACGCGAAGGGCGTGATGCCGATGCCTGCCCCGATGAGCACCGCGTGGGCCACCTTCGTGATGGACGAAGACGGCGTCCCGTACGGTCCATCCACGAATACCTGCACAACATTACCATGTAATTACCTGCACAACATTACCCTACAGTTATCATGTCAACAATTACCTACACGACATCACCCTGCTATTACCTGTTAACAAATAGCTGTACAACTATACAATGCTATTACTTGTTCTTCATCACACAGCTATTACCTGCACATAAATACCTGTGTAAAATCATAATGCAATTAGACTTGTATCCCTTTTTCTGTATGATTAGAGGCAGGAACAAATTGTTCAAATTTGTGTACAGTTTAGCTTTGAGTCCAAGTTAAGGTCTCGTGTACTTTAAACAAATGTCATGCCAATGAATTCCACGTCGTTCAACTCAGCAATTTTACTCAAGAGTCCCTAACGTGACGTCGTGCCAAGTATTCAAGCGTCTCGTGATAGTGCTGCTCCTCATAGGTTCTGAGAGCTTAAAGGGCTCACGATAGTACTGCTGCTCACAAGTCGTGAGTGCTCAAACGCCTCACGATAGTACTGCTGCTCACAAGTCGTGAGGGCTCAAACGCCTCACGATAGTACTGCTGCTCACAAGTCGTGAGGGCTCAAACGCCTCACGATAGTACTGCTGCTCACAAGTCGTGAGGGCAACAGTACGGAAATAGCCGCCATACAAGTGCCCTGTCTACGCGATATAGCAGCCGTGGCTCGTAGGTCTTGGCATGTTTTGAACACAGCGCGTATCAAACACGATAGTAAGGAGGAATATATTTATCCCATTAAAAGAGGAGGGGGTCATCACTTTCAATTTTAAAAACCCATTCCTTGGATGAAAAGAGATGGAATTGGTTGTCGTGCATTTTATAGGAATCCTAACCTCAAAGAGGCAGGAATATATTGTTATGCATCTGTTCCGGTCATGCGTCATGTTGGGACTGAGTCAATGATCTGAGAGGGATGCAGGTGTCACAGAAGCAAAAAATTTGGCACATCTTTAGACGATGAATTTTATAAAACATTGATTGAGCCGTGAATTTTCTTTATGATATTTCTGTAAAATATTATAATATTTCTGTAAAATAACAATATGAGGAATTATTTCAAGTTCTGCACCAAGTGGAACTGTTTGCTAATAAATTCAATAAAACCTGTGAAAATAGATAAAATGTTTTAAATTTATTATTTTATTCACGGGATTAACAAATTTAATATTTTATGTTCTCAGGTCTGAGTAAAAAAAAAATAAATATAAACTTGAAGAAATGTACAGGAAAACTAGACTGAAATTAACGCTTTTCTAATTTTGTATCAATGTTAAGGAGAGTAATACATGACACCTTTAATATGCTCTATCTGAGAAAATATGGCAGGAGTAGAGCTGTTAAATAGCTTTGTAGTCACTGAAGTGTAAGTAGCATCTTAAATTAGATTAAAGATACGTTCAATAATACGCACTTCTACAGGCTGTATACTGGTGGCAGGTCCCATTCGGAACTGATGACTGTGTTTCTGCTGGAGGACGTTTGGTGAACTCGAGTAAGAGGGCTTCGAGTTGCAGAGTCGCGGCTGAAAAGCCAAGTCTAAATTCTGCAGGCTAGTTAGGCTGCCCGTGGTCGAGGTGTTGGCTGAGTCGAGTAGCCTGGGAGTCCATTGGCCGACCTCGGAACCAGCGTTGTGCAAGGAGCTGAGGCTGCTGGATCTTTTCCTAGTTCTCGAGTTGAGGCCGGAGTTCTGGGCTTTTATTTCGTTCTCAAGAAGCAGCACTGCAGGCTGTATGCCGCAGTTGCTGGCTTTGCGGTTAAATTCAATGAGGTTCGCATAGTAACGACTCGATAGGTTCTCAAACGATGAGCTGTCGGTGCGTTTGTCAATGGCGAAACTGCCAGAATCCAGCTTGCCTTCCATGATAGATGAATTATCACCGTTAAGGCTGCCGGAACTGCAAGATTTTGTCTGGAGTCTTTGGGACCCAACTAAGCCGTACTGCTCCAGAAGGGAAGGATGCAGCTGCTTCTGAGGAGCGTCTCGGAGGAGATCCAGCAGTCGTTGCGTCCAACCTCCCACTGAACGCACGTGGACTGTGAAGGTTCCTGCTCAAAAACAGTTATAACGATACAATTTATAAAAAAAATATCGACACAAAATTTTTCAATTTTAAATTTGTTCATTACGCACCTGTGTATTCATTCCACAGTAAATGGCAGTCTATGTCATTGGAAAAACAACTGACGTTGATGGGGCCTGCAACCTCGAATTTTGCATCACATAAAAAACCCATCGTTTAACATTAACCCTTCTTTCAACTAACCTTCCTGCTCAGGAGCGGACGATATCGTGAAGGGATGCCACTCATGCTTGGCAACAGAGGGGACGTTGAGGTAGACGTATTCTCCAGCCCTGAATTCGAACTCTTGGGGCCGTTGGATAGTCAATTTCATCACCTGTGGGCAGTGACCAAGTTAAAATTAGCAATTTGCACGGTGCAAATAAAATTTTTATAAGAAACATCTTATATTCGTATAAGATGTTGGGGATAAGGGGAATATGATCAGAGGTTTTAATAGTTTGCTTTAAATTAAAGCTCATCCCGTCACTACGATGTCACTACTCCTGTCGTAATATGACTGATAACTGAATATTCTGACGATATCGAGCAGTTTCTTGTGGCTTGAGCTTTGGGAAAACTTTGCATGGGTTGTATAACTTATTATTGTAAGGGATAAGAATCGTTCATCAATTTTTAATGTAACTTGAGGCCCTAATATTTATTAAAAAATTATTTATAATTGGGAGCCCCTTCAACATACATATAACTTATCTGTTGCGCTACAATATCATTTGATATCGTTTTTCTTAGGTTATAAGAAGATCACTGGTAGATCAATAAGTCCCTACCTGTGACGGAAGCTCTTCGACCGCGACGACAGAGGTGCGGCCGCGGTCAGAATACACTTGCATGACGCGGACACAGGCTTCGGCCACGAACGCAGTCCCAGGCACCAAAAGCCACATCCAGAAGCGCGGTCCGTGAACTACCATCAGCACCCAGAAGGGCAGGGAGAGCAGGTGCGTGAAGTAGAACACCTGCGATACAGTTGATTCAGGTTGAGGGTGTCAATGGTATGGGTGTTTTTAGAAATAAATGACATTCAATTTGTTACTAAGGCGTAGTGATAACAACAAATTTGTCGCTAATCTTTTTTTTCCTGTATAACGAAGTTGACTTGTAATGATGCATTTATGTTTCGTGAATTTAAATGTTAAAACATTGAATTTCCGGTAAAAATTTTTTGCTTAGTTTTCTTGCTGCGAACAGAGTTCTTTGTTTTCTATTTTGTTCTTCTAGCTAACAGTGACAGCAAACGGTATATAAACAATATTTAACATGGAAAACTGCAGGCTTTAAATCAGTATTTTCTTGAGTGTCTTTCGTGTACACACCTCAAAATATCCCGATTTCCTGATGCATCGATGGCTGAAGGTAACGATCACGAAAAGCATCACAAGGAGCAGGATGCCGCTCTGGTTAGCAAGACCCCAGATCCAGCCAATGCCGTGTCGCGTCTCCAGCATGTAACTCCAGAAGCTAATGCCAGTCTCTTCTGATACTTTCACTGTGAGTTTCAGATAGTGTTATCGATAGTAGTGAGTATCAGATAGTATATTATTATCTTCAGAAGAAAATTCTAAATACAATTTAATCATATTATTATATTACATAGGACAGCTGTCCTGGGTGGAACTGAAATATATCACTGGTAGAATTTATGGGCTGAAAAATTATCTTTATTTACTGGCTGCGTATAATTGGACGGCGGTTCTGCCGCTATAGGGTAGCGTTTATTCGAAATGAATTCTGAATAAACGGAATTCTTTCCATGCAGATTAAGCTATCTGAAAACTAAATTTTATCAGTCTCAATTTAAACTGACCTAAATTGCAGACATGGAACATAGTGTGCAGAAGTGAACACATGAACACTGCCCAGCCGGCCATCTTGTGGAGGTGAACATGTCGGTCGCAGGGCAGGACAGCGCCGAGCTTGGAGTTGCGCAGGCGCGTGATGCTGCGACGTAAGATCAGCGACAGCAGCAGCGCACAGTTCAGGTTCAAGCATTGTCCTGTGCACCGATTATTAGGTTTACAATGTTAAAAAATAATAATCGATTAATTTAAATTGTAAATTTTATTCCACATGGATTACAACTTCTCCAAATCTCATAACGTTTTTCGACCAAATTAAAGATCTTTGAGTGATTTCGAAATCTGATAATTCAGAGGATCACAATAGAGAACATGAATAATCGAACATATTACTCACCGAAAGCCCTCGCCATCATTTCCATGACGTAGGCATGCCTATATTGCCAAATTCGTAGGCCAAAAAGCACGGCGTTCGCTGCCACAAAACAGGCCAAGAAAAAGACGTACGACGCGTTGTTGTTCAGCCACGTCATCTGGCGCTTGAATGGCTTAAGACATGACCAAGACTTGTTAGTGTCTTGTGTGTGCTGTGAGTTTGTGATGGATGGCTTTTGGGTGATGGGTTCCTCGTGTTGTAGCCGAGAAGCTGTGATGAAGTGGTCGCTGAAATTTACATGACCGAGCTTTCTGACTGGCATCAGCGACTGTAGCTTTTCCTGTAGGCGACTTTTGCTGCTGAAACTTCCTTCAGATTCTACCTCAATGCTTCCGCTCTCCGGGTCCAGGATCTTCTTCCTGATGCCAGTGAAGATAATCGTAATAAGAATTAAGCACTTTTAATTAAAATTACCGTCAAATTTCCCGAATTTGGCTAAAGAGGTTGCAATATTAGTTAGGATTATATCAAATATCAAATTCTAAGTGAATAATAATTTTTAAATTTCATCTTATAGAATGTTGTGACTATCACGTGTGACAAATTTATCGTCCGCAAGAAATTTCAATGCAATTAATTGAACTAAAAGAGCAAGCTCAGTGACATCTAGCTGACCTTCACACAATCAGATATTGGCCGGCGATGTGTGGAAAGTTCATGGAGATAAATTTTTTCCAATCAGTTCTGTTGTCGATACCTTTACGATTAATTCCAATGCAGGTATTTGACTGAACTTTAGGTTAACTTCCAGGCAATTAAGGATCGTGTCTTAAACAATTTAAATACTTCGTTAGTGAAGCCAATTTTTTTTTGTTCACATGTCCATGTTGATTTTAAAAGAAAATTTGCAAAGAAATGATGAATGTTTGAATGTCTTAATTTGTAATTTTAACTATTATATCACTTCCACTATTAGAAACAACATAACTATCCGAATAAAACGATCAGCGGATCAATTAAAATTATGTCATATATAAAGATACACAATTTATTATACTGGTATAGGTTGGCAAAATTTGTTCCTTCAAGCAGGTTTCATTGAAGACCAGAGAATTCATTTTATTGGCAATTTTCTTTTTAGTTTTTTCAATAGATAGATAATGAATGAGTGATACATTCGAAACGTTGGTGAAGAAATGAAAATGTCCATCGGTAGGCTGATTTTCGATTTACCAGTGCAATCGAAAAATATTGTTCGATCTAATGGAAAAAACTAATAAGAAAATTGCCAATAAAATGAATTTATTACACATGCAGTATACATTTAGATTACCATAGTACAAGATTTGTATTCGAGAGCGCTCTTCTCATAGCCAGAATGATGTGTTCCCTAACTCTATGTTTGAGTAACTGCAAATAAAGTCTAATCAATATCACTGTTATTGGTCTACAAAGTGTGAAAGTTAAAAGCTATTCAAATTCTAAACTCAGATCAACAATAAATTTACGCACTCACGTGGAATTTTTTCTACCCATGTTGTCGGTCGCTGCAAAATTACCATAGTACAAGATTTGTATGCGATAGCGCTCTTCTCATGGCAGAATGATGTGTTCACTAACATTCCTCTTGTGTCAGAATGATGTGTTCACTAATATTCCACTCATTCCAGAATGATGTATTCACTAACATTACTCTCATGTCAGAATGATGTGTTCACTAACATTCCTCTCATGCCAGAATGATGTGTTCACTAACATTCCTCTCATGCCAGAATGATGTGCTCACTAACATTCTTCTCGTGTCAGAATGATGTGTTCACTAACATTCCTTTCATGCCAGAATGATGTGTTCACTAACATTCCTCTCATGCCAGAATGATGTGCTCACTAACATTCTTCTCGTGTCAGAATGACGTGTTCACTAACACTATGCTTGAGTTACTGCAAATAAATTATGATAATTAACATTATTATGGGTCTAAATGAGGTGCTGCAAATAAAGCCTAATCAATATTATTGTTATGGGTCTACAAAGTGTTCAAGTTGAAAGCTATTCAAATTCTAAACTCAGATCAGCACTAAATTTACGCACTCACGTGGAATTTTTTCTACCCATGTTGTCGGTCGCTGCGGACGCAAACTGGGCAGGATCAGCTTGTATCTTCCGTACGTGAAAATGCGATTATAATTTGTCTTATATATAAAAAATTATGTTTATAGTGCAAAATTGTTCAACACTTTCGATAGAAATCAGTGATTTTCAATCAACTTTGATTTATTTCAGAACACACTCAGTTGTTTTAATGTGATTCTGAAAATTCGATGTGACATGAACTCAGTTTACTGCTAACACATCGGTAATTCTATCGGAATTCATTAAACAAATATTGACACAATATCTGTAAAAAATATAAATCATTAGTGTTTGCAGACAACAAATGGTTCTTTCTAAACAAACAAAATTATTGAAACAACATCCAGCAACAAAATCCATGAAATCTATAAACTCTTCTGTTGAAAAAAAAGTAATCTACAAAAGAATTTCCTTTCTATTTTATTCGATGAAACGCACGATTAAGCAATATCCGTGCAGAAATCCAATCATGCGCAATGCACTTTAACCAATTAAACAGAATAATTGGATCGAAATAATTGAATCACGATCTAGCAGTATAGTACCACGCCTCTAAATTTATCGAACAATAGCCATGTATTTTATTGAGCATGAAATCTGAGCAGGAAAACCATCACTATTACGTGCGACAAGCGAAACTCCGAGCTAATCTCGGCGCGTGATACAGCGAACATTACGGCTCCAATTTATCAATTCATTGTTCAAACTTTGAACATTTTAAGTGCGCAGGGTTACGTAAGGTTGGAAATTTTTCCCTCGAGATCGTCTTCGTTTACGTGCGAGGGTTGCGACACCGCAGAGCGAGGACGCTGGTGCACCAGAGGGAAGGTTTGGGGGCTGCGAACAGACCCATCCCCACATTTCATGTTTGATCATCATTATATTCATATTTGTAGTTGATAAAATGTTGTGGAATAATGAACCTTACAAATAAATTTCATTTCGATAGAGGTATATATACATGAGCTTTAGTATAAAAAAACATGCTGATGTACGAAACCCGCAACCCTGATCCAAATACTTAACTTCATGGAAATTCTGATTAACGTAAATTTCGAGAATGAATGAACTCTATGAAAATCCATAATTCAAAAGCTTATATGCGCGAAAAAAACTATGAACGAAATACCGGAATATTTCAATGCATGAAACCCCAGATTCGCGAAAAATTTTAATACAAAACCATCTTACGGAAAAAACAGTACACGAATACCCAAATGTAAGAAGCCTGATGTTGAAAAAATTATCACGCAAAAATATTTATGCGCGAAAAATATGGCCTCATGCCAATCTCATTTTTGTAATCGGGATATCACCGACAGCGTAATTTCATTCATTAATGAACTATTAATACAAAATATTCAAATGTTGCACACAAAACATAATAAAATCTTGCTATCTATAGTTAATTATTAATTAAAATTATAATTATTCAAATTATAAATTTATAAATTATTTCATTCATTAATGAACTACTATTAAATATTATTCATATGTTGCACACAAAACATAGTACGATCTTGCTATTCATAATTAATATGGGCAATGGGCATTCTCGGGCATTCTCCAGACTCCAGTCTATGTTCGAAAGAGGAGTCGATAATAAAAATTTTATTATTTTTGAAGAACATGGCATTTTTATTATGAGTAATTATTTTACCCACCATGGCCTTCGTTTTAGGTAAAAACCATAGGCCGGAGGGTCCGCCAGTTTTAATGGTTCTATGCTAATGGACCGACCAGCGTGGGTCACAGCTTTCCCTCACCGTACCAACTTTGTTTGCACTGCCTGCGTATATTAAAAAGTTCCAAGCCTGCTGAAAAAAAAAACATTGAATAAATTAAAAGTTGACTGCACGAGAATTTGTACAGAATCCAGCGGTCTGTATTGTGCTGACCCACGTATAATAATAATAACTTCAGTCGCAATTGAATCGAATTAAAATAAATCCAATTTTTAATGTACTACAAACATTAAGTTAATTATATAGCAAATGAAATGCATTGCCATCATGGTAGCTTAAACTAAATAGTTTCGATTATGTCAAATTAAATATATAAACACGCTTCAAGACTTTTTAAGCATTTTGTACCTTCATTGTTCTTAGTATAAGCTTCAAAGAATTCATACGAGTAAAAAATAATACTTGTGTGTAACATTGAGTGAAGGTTGATTTACAAGCCGAGGACGCCCCCCAAACGTTTTTTCATATCCTAGTCTTCCGACGTCTATTCATTTTATATTCGTTCTTGCTTGAATGTAATAATCCAATATACGCATACGTGTCCATTTTGATACTTATTGTTTGAATGCAGTGGCAGCCATAATTAACATCGTATACGCGACCTCCCTCGATGCCTGAGGAAGCGAGTCCGTGAACGTGAGCCGCAAGCTCAGTGCCGCGCAAGGCCGCGGTGGTGCCAAAGAGTGCCCCGTGGCACTGACATGTGGCACCTTGGTACGTCGCAGTGAGTACCAAGGCTGGAAATAACATGTACTTTGGTGTGGGCACTTGAAATTGCATGTACTTTGGTGTGGGCACTTGAAATTGCATGTACTTTGGTCTGGGTACTTGAAACGTTTCATTGGAAATCTATGAATTGGGATTAAGTTTATTTGATTAAGTTATTTGATGGAATAAAATTCACTAAGACGTAGCTAAATTTTTTGCACCTTCATCAAAAATATTGCAATGATGATCTGTTGCAAATACAACCAACTTTTATCATCAAGGTGATCAAGTTTGATGATAAGCATACCGTGTGCCAGCCTGACTGATGTTATACGGATTGTTGACGAGACAATAAATCATGCTTAAAAAATAAAATGGCAATTAATTGTATATATTAACAATATAAAATAACTGTTTTAATGTATGAGCAAATTACATTGAAAACTTAAAACCAATAGTTTAAATAGTTACTGCTGTTAGAGTTTATCATCAGCAATACGCGTTAATCGTGTACCGAAAAGACATGAAACGCAAAACGCACTTCACAAATTAGTTTAAAATTTAGCTCACGTCTGACGACTCCTTCGGAAGGTCACGGCCTCTCTGGCGCCTGCTTGTACCTGGGCCCTTCCGCTTGCGTGTGTACCTCTCTTCTCCTCTCTTTTCCTCTCTTGTTCCCTCTTACTTTTTGTTTGCCTTTCCACAAACACTTGCCTTTATCGTTTTCATCTGCTGTCTAGTTGAGCAGCTTCAGTTAAAAGGAGTTTTTACAAAAACTGTTATTGTTCTGAATAGATTTGACTCTCGATGACCAAAACGAATTCATGTTATGCTAACGCCAACCTGAAAATTTCAGTAACAGCTAAAAAATTCGAATTCTGGTGATCTGCAAAAGAATTTCCGGAGGCGAAGAAGATTGACGAGGAACAGAAAATGCCTGGATTTGTATGGGATGTTGCAAAAAAAAAAAAAATCCTTCATTTCCAGCCGGAACAAATTTTGTTCGCCTCCTCGGGCTATTGAGTCAGGAAGTTCAGAACGCGCGCTCGGTAAAAAATATTGCGGGCACTTATCCAGATCTTACCGCCTTCAGGATTGCACGGAAGATAAACGATGTACTACATTAAATCGTGGATATAATACTACTATTTTTAATGCATAGTCAATAATGATGATATACGTTCGGTTTGAACGAAGATTGGTATGACGCTATTCTTTAAATAAAAACTCCCGTTGATATAATAACTAAAAAGATCCCTCTCGCAAATATATCTTCAGCCACAAATAAAACTACTTAATAGTTCGGATACAAAATCTTGTCTTAACCTGGTCGAGGGAAAACTTTATTTCATATTAAAATCCACACATTTGCTGTTTCATGTATCGAGATAGTTCTTTTACCGTAAATTGTTTGATATTTACACGTTGGCTCGTCACGAATTATCTAAAATTTGTTGTAGAAACCGAAATTATATTTATAAAACTCAAGTTTTTAATGAATTATAAAAGAGCAAAGTTGAAGTTCAGATTCCGCTGCAGCGATGGATGGAATTTATGGAGCAAGGGCGGATAAGCGGACATAGACTAACTCTGTCGCAATAATCTTAAAGTAATTAACGTTTAAGTGACATTTGGGGTGTGATTGAGACATGGAGAAACATTTGATAACAATTATGCATTAACAATAAATGTTCTCGTATCTAACATGTGCGAAGATCGTATCTGTTCATTAACTTTGTCGAAGACCTAAGCTCACTTGTAGTAGGTACATTGCAAGTTTTTTTATAAAAAGTAGTGAATTAAGATAATTACTATGCATGCATTGCTCTAAAAAATTCTTGCAGGATTATGCTGTGGAAAATTTATGTTTTGTGTTAATAATTGAAGAAGAAAAATTAATCACTTTGCCTTGAATAACTTGACGTTTTTAAGGCAACCTTGCCCGATCATGAGCCAAGTGATGCGACTCGACAGAATCACCGACATGTGGAACAGCCTCCCCGATGACATCGTTGGCGCTCCAAGTATGAACGCGTTCAAGAAAAGACTAGATAAAGCTATGGAAAAATATATGTTCAGACTTGAAATGCCTAGCACCATATCGAACCCGGTGGAAGTCTAGTAGCTATTTCAAACTATCGTCAGTCGTGAAAAGCTCCGGTCAAATGACACGATTTTAGATCTTCTGTGAACAAGGCACGAAAAGTGAAAGAATCGGCGACAGGCCACATCAGGCCTACACTTCAGCGCCGACATCACTAAGTTATGTTATGACAGTTCCTGCCCGCGGTGAAGCAGTCGTTTTTCTTGACGCCTATAAGTCACCCTTGCCCGATCAAGATTCAAATAAAAAGACACGACAGTTCCTGCGAGACCTGCAAGCAGTCGTTTTTCTTGACGTGTCTGAGGCAGGCTTGCCCGATCAATGTCTAAGTGATGAGACGCGGCATTTCCTGCCCGACGTGCAAGCAGTCGTTTTTTGCCCTGTGGGCGTCCGTCCAAAAGCGCTTAAGAAGCAGGAAGCTACGACGCCACTTCCGAGCTCCCGGTAACTACCACGCCATCTTGAGAACTATCCTTCACGTACCGTTTCTCTCAACGGTCCCTGATATGACGGTTGTAAGTTTTACGATGAACGTAAATATATCAAGATATAATTCTCATTATCATTGTGAAAAAGGATAATCCATCGTAGAATAATTCACAATGGAGAAGTTATGCAGAAGACTAATTTGACATTCTCTGAAGAAGTCGTAAGGGCTCTCACCTGAAATTGATGCTGTTAAGATGACTTCGAGAGAACTGTTTGAGAAA